TTCAATGGCGCTCAATTTGAACGTGCGAAAAGCGGTAAAAAGTTAGTAAAATTTTTAAACAAGAAGGTTTAAGAATAGCTTTTAGAAGTACGGGTTCACTTAAAAATATCTTCTCAAAATTTAAAGACAAGGTAGACAACTTAGCAAAAAGCGGGGTTTACCAACTTAATTGTAATGATTGTGATATTAAATATACAGGAAAAAGCGGTAGAGAAATAAAAACGAGAGTAAAAGAACACTTGCCTAAATCGAACAAATTTTCGGAATTTAAGGACCAACTAAAAGAAGCAAAACATAATTTCAATTCAAATTTAAATACAACAGTGTTACATAGTTTCAACAAAGGGAAAGAACTAGATTGGTTTGAGAAATTTGAAATTAAAAAATGTAAAATTGAACATGGTGATAAATGCATTAATAATATAACAGATTTTGATCTACCTCCCATTTTAAATATGTACATAAATAATGTAAAACGTCCAAATAATTAAATTAATTATTTTAATTGTTATTATTTTTATAATAATTTAATAATATTAAGGTATTATTCTAATCTTTTATCTTTTATCTTTAATAAAAGATAAAAAAAGGTCATAATTAATTTCTTACAGTATTTACCGAATATTTACTTGTGTGATAATTCCCGCTTTTCGCAAGTTCAAATTGAGCGCCATTAAAAAAACCAGCTCCTCATTGGAACGTGGCGTTGGCGGGGTATCGGCGGGTTCACTCCTGCGATTCATGTCGAGAGACGTGGTTGTAGAAATCCTTAAACCTGATGATGAGCTAAGGGCTCGAAATCCGGATCATTAGAAAACAACTTACGCGTAGGAACTATCTTTTTTTTAAAAAGGATTGAAAAGATGGTAGCTAAATTAGACTATTAACTAACTAACTACTATTAGCTGAATAGTAAGCTATAGTTAATATGTGTATGTCAAGATATGTCAATAGATCTTACATGGTAAGATGGAGACATTGATATTTGACGTTTTGATGGATTAAACTGACTGAGATTGAACGGAATACAATTAGCTCTTTATTGACATTAAAACTACTCCAATCTAACTGAAAAGCGACGCTTTACAAATTAAATCGCTGAAAGCTTACGTCGGAAAAGGTAAATGGCTGTGAGTACATAACACGAGATAACAGGATGAACCTCATCCTCTGGCACCTTGGAAAAATCATTTGCGTTACACCCCATTGTTCCAAGTTTCTCAGAAAGTTCATGTTGCCATATTGTTAGAGATACTGTTTTATTTATGAATCCGCAAAAACGACTCTGTATAATTTAATTATAAAAGAATCTTTTCAATGGACGATTAAGCTTCTAACAATCTTTACTGTAAGATCGTAAAAACCTATTATGAAGATATTAAAATAACAGTATACCAAGAAATACATTATGCACTTGTTAATGATTTCATTCCAAGGTAAAACGGGCATAAGCCGTTATTAGAGTTAATAGGGAATGGAATAAACTGAAACGCACGTTTTCTTGCTTATATAATTGCATCAATTTTAACATACTACAGGCGAAAAATAGTCTAAACGGTGAAATTATATAATAGATCCAGACTGTAAACGATGTTGTTGAACAATGTTTCCAATTATCATTAATTAAGGTTTTTAGTTGAGATAAAAAAGTCAATGGCATGAGCAGGATTCGAACCCACGATCTTCGGCTTGATACGCCGCTGCTCTATCACTTGAGCTATCGTGACCTCGATCCACTCGGACACCAACCTCCCATCTCAACCGAACCTTTTGAAAATGGCAAAAAGGAGGGAAAATTCAAAAGGTGCGGTTGAGATGGGAAGTTGGTGTCCGAGTGGTCGAGGTCACGATAGCTCAAGTGATAGAGCAGCGGCATATCAAGCCGAAGATCGTGGGTTCGAATCCCGCTCGTGCCATTGACTGTTTTATCTCATCTAAAAATCTTAATTAATTATAATATATTAACTGGTCAAGCGGACCACCAAATTAGTGATTTTAATGTTTCCAATTTTGAGTCAAAAGCTCAACTCTGTTTTATTTTTTATTAGTAAGCATTGACCATTTCTGGACTTGTTTAAAAAACCAATTTTGTCCACCGGAGTCTTCGGTTTTAAGATTATGAAGAATCAAGAAAAATATTGAAAATTAATCAATAAAATATAACATAATGAGATTGTAAAGATTGTCACATATATAAACATAGCTACGAAATCATTGGTACTGCCCATTTAACGTTTTCTCTAACCTTTCCATTTCTTAGTTTCTTTGGGTGTTAAGTAAAATAAATAAAACTCGCAACATGCAGCATAAATTCCTGCTGTTCCATCCGCACCTTAGAAGCACCGCCCTGAAACGTGTTTCGCTACTGTTCGAAACTTTGTTCAGAAACATTGTTTATTCTGAAGGCATTATCAATAGCAAGCTTTGTCAAATTTATAACTATTTGAATTAAACTTTTGCCACGTATAACAAGCAGTAAAGAATGCAGGTTTTTCTTCCCTTGGACATGTTCCATTTGAAAATAAATTTCCAGCTGTAGTACTTTCTCTAGGCTGAAGCGATACTTAGTTAGCAGTTTCATCCATAAAAGACAAAAACCACAAGGTATGCAGTTCTTGATACACTTGAGTTTACAATTCCCAGGTTTCGACAGGTTTTCGTATATTCTTCTGGAATAACTGTTTTATTTTGGCGGCAACAGTTAAGGTACGGACACGGTGTTCATAACTGTAAGGTAAAGGATGGAGGGTTCGAACCCGACATACTTTCAATGGCCTGCTTTTTTTTTTTTCAAAAATCCAGCACCTCGGTGGTTGTTATGGTCTCTTCTGTTTAGAATCCCCGTAATAAACACTGTTAAGGCCCAAAAATAATTATATGTTAAATATGTAGTAATGTAAGTAATCTCAAATTTATTTGGTACTTGTGATTTAGCTATCTGTACAACCCCTTCTCTCAACAAAGAGCTGTTTAGGCCCACCTCCATTTTTTTCTTGGTAATTTTTAAATGGCATTGAGCTTAATTGTGTCAATGGATCCATAGTACGACTTGTTTGTGTGATGTGGCATAGAGTGTTTATAAAAAGAAGGTTTACTGGAAAAAAATGAAGAAATCGTATGTTGAAACAGTCGATAATTGGTAAAATGATGGGTGCTTGGTCACTTTACATGTCTGTCAACTCTTTTGCTTTATATGTCACCTAGACTAGTTTTGGTTTTACGCCATCTATTTCTAAGATCGTTATCAAAATTCAAATCAATAAGTTAAATTAATGTCTCAATTTTTTCCCAGTTATATACAACAGAGGTTTGAAACTATTTGACAACCTAATAAAATTTCTGGAACCTGTTCTTCAAATTTCTCTCAAAAGTTCATCGCCGAAAGTGGACCTTTAAGCCTTGTTCCAACGGCGTGTGGATTGCCGAGCGAACTCATAAACTTGTATCTTGTCTGTCGTATTCCGATCGCTAGCCGTTCCCATGGCACGGTAAAGCTCGAACGACCACCGAAACATCGACTAGGGGCGCCTTGAGTTAGAACAATAAATTGTTATAATTTTCCACACCCATTGTGTAAATTTTTTTTAATATAGTCGGTTTTGATTTAAATATCAACGCTAGTACAGTGCTCTATTATGATTTATTGTAATTTTCAATGTTAAAAGTATCGACAAGAACCCCCACTCAACAACCCCCTTTTGTTGTTCTTGGCAATATTGGAAATTTGAGACCGCCTGTAAAAACCTTAAATATGCCAATCTGTAGAACTTTTTAAGATTTTTAACCCTGATGATGACCTTAAAATAGGTCGAAGCTTGGCAGTAATAACTAAATTTGTTTTTTTCTTCATGGCCATACCTTGGTCTAAAGTGTTGGTTTGTAGATGTTGAAAAATGCATTTGGTTCAGAATAAACGGGAACAACTGCAACACAACAGTTCGTGCGAAGGGGTGCTTGAGCCGTACTATGGCTTGTCATACGTCAAGTTTTTGACTCTTGAAGAATTTACCGACAAATGATGGGAAACGCTGAGCCACCCACAGCAATAACGAATTTTTACATACTCGAGACGTGAGGTGTGACAAACTTCTGACCAAATTCGCTAAACCTCATGCCGTGGAAACAAGTCAAACATCAATGCTTTCTGTCCTTTCATTTCACCTCTTCCTTTATCGTTTGGCAGGTAAGTAAATACCTTACTTTGCACGCATTTCAACAGTATCACTGGGCATTGTTGTTTGAAAAGCATCGAATCGACTAGGGGCGTCTTGAGTTAGAAAAATAAATTGTTACAATTTTCAATAAAGCTCGGAAACATTTAAGATCTGGAAGGTCCTTAAGAAGAGATATTTTTTATAAAAACGTCATCAGTAATGCGAGGAAATATCAGAGATGACAATAGACCATTTGGTTTTGTAATGATTACCTCGTACGAAACCTACGCGCCATGTCAAGTCCACAAACTTTATGACGTCATTATTTAGTATGTAAAGCAATTTGACATGAATGTTTACATATAGGTTTTAGAGGTGGCATGTTTAGCGGCTTCCAGGCTTATTCCGTCCTTAGATCTACCGCGTCCCATTATAAATTATGTCGATCTGGGCGACTCTGCAAAAAACGGATGTAACGTATGAGAGTGATAAAACGCCGTCGTCCTGACCCAATTCCTAGCAGAGGGCAAGGATGAAAATCCCCGGGGAAGGAAGCTAGGATGACAATTTGTACCGAATCGCTCAATCGTAAATGGCATCAGCGCGGCGGCACCTTGTCAACCGGCGGGATAATGAAATGTGTGTTTGGCCTCTTAACAGAATAGCAAATGGGCCCGGCATTGTCTGTAGGAGCTAGGAAGTGACAGTGAGTCCACGGCTTGTAAAGAGTTAATAAGATTTACAAGAGTTATCTGATCTCTAAGGAGGCATGGTGGGGCACCCGGGGAGGGGTCCTTGGTGGGGTGATCTCCTCTCCTAGAGATCTCAGAGACCCCACCAGTTCAGTCTCTGGCTAACCATCTCCGGACCCTCTTCTGTGCTCTCTCTCCAAAGTGAATGTGCAACTCCTGTGATCTCTCATCGGACCTAACTAATATTTTCAACGCAATCAATCTCCATAGTCGATATCAACATTGATAACACTTTTTAAATGGGATGCAATATTAATTGTAAGTAATTGTTTTCTTTTTATTTAGCTCTAATTTATGAACAATGTTTAATTTCTTCCTACAACTACGATCCGTTAACTATAAAAATTAAAAATTAAATTAATTACTTATACTTACTTGATTTCTGCGCCTTTTAAAAACATTTTGTACCACAAATAAATCCATTTTAATAGCCTCTCATAATAAAAAATACTTTAATTCTAAATAATTTCTATATATATATATTTCTATTTAATTGATTTAAGAACTAATTAGACGACTGAAAGTTCTAGAAATAAATAGAATAAAATGATAAAAGCATGTGGATGAGTAAAACGATTTGTTCAGACTTTTCCTCTTCGGTTGCTCTTTTAAGACCAAATCGCGATCCGTTCATCTATCCATTTAAACCATGACTACCAGCATATCACTTATGATTTACATATGTCTATATTATATATATGTAATATAAAATACAAATGATTTCAAATATAGTCTAGAGACGAGCAACCGTGAGAAAATCAGTGTTGTAGAACTATTTTAAAACATTAAAGTTATGAGAAAATAGTAGTTTTCAAATGTGTCAAAACGCTGTTTTTCGAACTTGTTAGCATTGGTGCTACGACCGGGACTTGAAAATTGGGCTCAGGAATTCACTGCCGGGTGCACTCAAGTCCGACTCTTTTCTGTCCAAGCGTTTTCTCAAAAAGACTTGGGCTTTAACAAAGTATCATTACGCATCTTTTTAATGATCAAAATCTTGGTTTTCAAAGAAAAAAAATTGGATTTCGTAGGCCAAAAAATTGGTTGAATGGCAATCAATATTTTATGACCTTAAAGTAATAGAAAATGAAAAACTACCTGATTCTGCTGGCAAATTTTTAAGACTATATACTTTACATCGGAAAGAAATAATAATCCGCCAGACATTCGTGGATATTCGACAAATCTATTGTTAAATTTATCAATAAAACAAAGTGGTATACTTTCCATATTTCACGATAGTATATACTTTATAATGGCAGTAATGCCAACAGAAATATAAATATGTACACAACAAAAACCTATTGTTTTTATGCGAATTATTGTATCAAATGTGTTTTGAACGAACATTACAATGTCAATGTTCCGCGTCGGCACGCAAGAACTAATTACAACATAAACGTGATTATGCAATTCAAAAATAAAAAATTTAATAATAATTGATTAAAAAAGCGATAAAGCTATTAATTCGATACTGATTTGGATGGTTGGTGAAATTCTTCTGATACGTTTACCGCTTATAACAGCTAGCACAATAACATAATAACAAAACAAATAATAAGTCGTTATTTAAATTTTTATATGTAAAGCACCAACTTCCTAAATTTTAGATGTGGATGGTTGGTGAAATTCTTCTGATAAGTTTACCGCTTATAACAGCTAGCAAAATAACATAATAACAAAATAAATAATAAGTCGTTATTTAAATTTTTATACGTAGAGCACCAACTTCCTAAATTTTAGATGTGGATGGTTGGTGAAATTCTTCTGATAAGTTTACCGCTTATAACAGCTAGCCCAATAACATAATAACAAAATAATAATAAGTCGTTATTTAAATTTTTATATGTAAAGCACCAACTTCCTAAATTTTAGATGTGGATGGAATACTTCCAGTGTTTTTTCAAATCAATCGAAATCACTGAATAGCAGATTGAATCAAGTATAATTTTATCCCAATGAAAAAACTAATTGAAAATTCCTAAATTTAATTAATTTCTAATCAAATTGAACTATTGTAAAACATTAGATTAAAATTAATTTTAGATTATACCAGTAACATAAAATCCAATTTATTTCAAAATAAATTTAGCTGTTTACGTAGTAAAACTAAAAAAAAGAAAAAAAAAAAAAAGACGCTCATAAACTTATCAAATTCTGTATTAAAAAAAATACCAACGATCTAAAAAATAAGTTTTGGAGTGATTCAATAGGTATTCCTATTGTAATTTGGAACTATTTTTGAAGGATTTCTGTTGGTGAAATTCTTCTGATAAGTTTGCCAATTATCAATATGATTAGTCCTACATTACATTTTTTAGAGATAAAGCACAATCTTCTTAAATTTTGGATGGGAGTGGAATACTTGTATCCGAACTAGAAGTCACTAGCTAGAACTAAAAATTTTCATAAGTTAGGATAACAAAATGTTTTATATATATCTTTTTATCCTACCGAACGAAATATTCCTAAATTTTACAAAACCTAATCGAATTAAAATCATGTAAAAAAACATCTTAAAAGATAAAATTGCCAGGCCACTAAATTTAGATGATCCTTACCACATAAAATCCGATTTATTTTTTTAAAAATTGTCTGTTATTTTTGTGGTGAAAACAAAAAACTCTGAAAAAGTTCAAAGTGAACGAAAGCGACAATAAACTTATCAATAGCTATTGTAAGAAAAAAACCTACCAATGAAAAACTTAAGTTTTGAAGTGATTCAATCAAAATTAACTGTCAAAACATCTGAAAAACAAATAAAACGCACAACATATTCTTTAATTGATAATTCAAGTTCATGTAATATTTTATTACTGGTTCAAGATCTACAAACCTTAAACTACATTTTCGTTAACTTTTAAAATTAATTTAAAATCCTCCTCTAAGATTTAAAAAGCGAAAAAACTGACTTTCATAAAATTACTAACAATAGTATTACTTAATTAGTATTGCTTTATTAATAACAAACTCGTTATTAATCTGTAGACATAAAAAAATCGTTTGCGAAGATATTTCAAAGCTCTTCCTGCTTGGATTATGAGTTGCAAGTTTTTGGCTTTTAAAGATAAAATTATCTTGTTTGGCATTACCAAATTAATCCATTTTTTCACCATAAATTTTTTACAGGCCATGCAATGCTTCTTAAAAAAATAATAAAAGCAAAGAAGCAAAACGTTTAACTTGCTTTTTAACTTTCAAGTAGTTCAAAATGCCATTATTATTTTACTAAGCAAATAATTATTTAATTGACAAGCAATCTGGATGTTATACCGTGTGACTGTATAAGAACAATCGTAATTATTGATTCATTTCGAACGACTAATTAATTTTACATTAAGCAGCTTCGTCTAATTGCTTTGTAAAATTCCCAAGATTGCTATAAACAGTGAAAGTCCAAATTAAAAAGAAAAACAAACAATTGTGCTGTTTCTAATTTAAATCTTAAAATTTGGTAAATTAATACCCTATCTGTTCTCCTGTTGACATTAAATTTTTTCTTATTAGGCAGTTATACATTCAATGGTTGATGCGTCGGCTACCATACAAAAACGTACATTTTTTCATACAATGAATAGTATAAGGAAAGATTTTGAATGAACGTAAAGTGATCACCGCACGACTTTTCCATTGAAATATTTATTGAAAATCTTTCGGCTAAAAAAATAAAAAAATATTGCCAGTATTTCATAAATATGAAAGCAATACACCATATTTTATATGATGGTAAAAAAACATAAAATAATGATAAACTGTATCATTATAAGGAAAAAGTCACGGTCATCTGTTCTTGTTTTATAAGGCTAATTACAGTCGATAAATCTCCTTGGGCGCTTTAAGCCGATCACTAATCACTCGAAGGATCAAAATAAGAAAAAGGGTCTGGCCATTTAGAAAAACATTGGGAATCACTAAGAGCTAAAATGTGTCACCTGAATAATAAATACCGGTGGCAAAGGAAGAGAAACGATATAGTCCACTAGTGAAATTAGTTAACATGCTGAAAAATCTCTTGTCCAAAGCTACCAGTTTTTCCCCACGGCAAATCCTTCTACCGCTTAGATTAGTCAAATTTCACTTTTTTTAAAGTACCTAGTTTATTTTAAAATACGCATTTTGGTGTGTATTCAATACAGAACTCAAGAGAAATTAAACAATGAACATAAATTTTCATGTGCTTCATTATCTAACATCAAGTAGTACATTTATGTGATAATCAGAATTTTTGGGGGGTAAACTCTTATGTATCGAGAACTCTGTCGATAGGTGGCCTCTGAGCATCTGATTCATAGAACAAGGGCCATCCTCATGCAATTAAGAATAACCAATACGAGGTTGACAATCGGACGCTAACATTTGAGCCAAAACTCGTGTATGTGCCCAGCATGCATAGAAAGAATTTATCATGGAAATCCTCGGCTCTTTAAAGAGAGCGTGTAGTAATGCCAGCCGATATGAGAATCGAGAATCTCCTGTTCCGATTTTTGGAAGAAACTGTGTTGTATAGTACTGATAGTTTCGTGTTGAGATTGAATGTATTTATTAGCGTGAATGGGTAGTATTAGGGGGCTTTAGATTAAAGGGTTATGGAGGAATATCGAAGATTCTACCACTCTGAGTGTAATTAAGAAAGAATGTATGAGAGTCAGAGTGGGATAGGGGTTTCGATCTAGGAACTGCATGCTGAATTGACCTAGCTGTTGACAAACCGTGTCCCAACTTCTGGACCGATAAGACCGAGGTCTTACCGCAGACTGCCGACACCCGAGGTTGATGATTCTCGAGGCGTGCCGGTAATTTATTGTAAAATACAAAAGCTGGGTTTGCCGGTTGATGCTAGAGGTGATGGATACATGTATGTACATAAATGTGCAGATTTGATCTTATATAAATCCAAATCCAAATATTTTATATTTGAAATTTGATATTTTAAACAAATAGCATCAAGTTAGTGGAAGTTTCTTATTAAAAATGATAAAATTTTGACTCGTCACTAGAACAAACATGTTGAAACTATCGATAATTATTTTTTATCTAATTGTACTATAATGCAGAATGTTCCATTCCTTTTTATATCAAGATCTTAATCCAATCCAAAAATACTATCAAGTATGCTAGAAGTTACTAATTCAATTTTTTTAAAATATGGATTCATTACTAAGAAGACAGACACATGGTTAATATCGACAAGTATTTTTATAATTTTTAAACGTAATATTATTGTAGATATTTATTTAGAAATTGTGAGATGCTGTCTG